TTACTTAATATCCTAATGATTTTTGGCATCAAAGAAAAATTGATACAATGTATTTTTGGCTATTGCTACAAATATACCGGTTTTGTGCTCCAGGGCCACATATTTCAACACAGTTTTACTAATTACTTGTATAAAAATGATGTAAGCGGATAGTTCAGGTACATTGTGATTCTGCAAACAGACTGAAACTTGGTTTATGAACTCAGCCCTGATTTTAGTTCCTGTCTTCTGCCAGCTGCTCCTCAGGTGTTGTGATGGCAGACACGGCCGTTCAGATGAGCAGAGTCGCAGATCTGGAGAACAATGTGTCCACCAGGACGAGCTCCTCATCGGCCAGACGAGGAGCGACCGTGAGCTTCCACAGCATCAGCTACAGCGTGAAGATGAAGAGCGGCTTCCTGTGCAAGAGGAAGCTCACGCAGAAGAACATCCTCACCCAGCTCAAGTCAGTCTTGCACTCTTCTGGTGTTGTGCTGTTAAATCTGATCACAACATTCATGTCTCATGCTTTTTAAATAGTAAGGCTTTTCAAAAAATACCATGCACCTTGGAGTAGCACATAAATACCATGCTTCATGAATTGCAGCGCTCTGATATATATATTAAAGCAGCAGAGAATTACCATATGATACGATATTATGGCAATAGTATTTTTTGAAATACCTTACAGTGACATTAAAATACCTTTAGGGAAAATACCGCAACATTATTTGTTTTGTAAGGAAAATCAAACATGGTATATAAAAGTACTGTGGAGTTTCAGTGGTACATGGTTTTTATCATATTTTATGTACTTTTCTGGGTTATTATAGTTAAAGAAAACAAAACCTTAAACTATGAGGGGCCGTACAAGCCATAATTCATTCTGGCACTCTCACACACTTACATTCTCCTTTCACATACATATATTTTTGCTTTCACACACTTACATTCTCCTTTCACATGCATACATTTCTACTCTCACACACACATACATTCTCCTTACACATGCATATATTTTTTGCTTTCACATACTTACATTCTCCTTTCACATACATATATTTTTGCTTTCACACACTTACATTCTCCTTTAACATATACATATATTTGTGCTTTCACACACTTACATTCTCCTTTCACATGCATACATTTCTACTCTCACACACATACATTCTCCTTACACATGCATATATTTCTACTCTCACACACACGTACATTCTCCTTTCACGTACATATATATATAGAATGTATGTATGTCTGAAGAAAATATGTGTATGTAAGAGAAGAATGTATGTATGTGTGAGAGAGAGTATAGTGGAAACGGAAGGAGTATA